GAGGGTCGTTATTTTGATTTCCTTAGTATTTCCTTCAAATGAAATGGAAACGTCATAACGTACCCTATTAATACTAAATGAGTGGTAGTGAGGCTCGTGTGCAATATCGCTTACGTTATGTCGGTTAATTGTTTGTTTACTCATATTGGTCAGGTGTATACGGACGCAGGGTGGAGGGTGGTATTGTGTTGATTGTGATATCAGCAAATACGGAATATGTCAGTGCTTATTTCTTGATTACATGATAGCGACGAGCTTGCTTTTGAATAAATTAATTTTATGGATTGTGATTGCATAGCAGTAGATAACTGTAGCGATTGATCGCTATGATTTTTTTTATAGACCAAACAGCGATAAGAACTAAAAAAATATCTATATCTGTCAACTGTGTGACATCAAAGCAACTTTATAATGTGAATCTGCTAACAATTACCTATTTTATATTACCTCAGAACACCGATAGTAAACTAATTACTCCAAAACTAATTCATTTCTGGTAATTTAAATAAAGGGTATCTAGAGTGGCGTAGTGCCGCTATCGTTGATCGGATGGGTGACCAAAATAATTATTATCTTTAGCTACTACGTGCTTCGGAAGGTACATTAAGCCACTGGTCCCGGCTACATTTGTATTCGTTAATATCAATGTGGCCCAACCTGCATTTGGCCAGTGTGGCCCATCCTCCTTAACCATTCTTAAGGAAGGCCTACGCCAATGCAGTGGAGACGTAAAAAGGGCTAATGGTATTAATGACTTTAATTAGAAAAGAACCACTAACGCTTTAGTGAATCAATAAAGATTTACTAAAGCGTCTATACTTAATGATTGCAGTAAATTATTCGTTAGTGCCCTGATTTATCAAAGTTTTGTTATTTCAACTAGCTGTTATACTGCTACTATTCTAACCCAGTTGCACATACATCCGTTAAAATTGCTATTATTTTATCAGTCTATCGGTTAGTTGCATAAATGTCCATTAAGGTTTAATGACACCTTTAAGCTCTAATAAATGTAAAATTTGTATGGGTAATGTCACTTTAAAGTAATGAAAGTTCTAATGGACGTTTGTGCAATTGGCTACAGAAGTTTCGGAGTTCAATAAAAACAAATAAACAATAATTTATTATCTCTTTATAATATTAGTGTAGATATACTTCAATGATAACAGTTATTTCGAAGTATACATATTTGTTCTGGCGATTTAGATACGGGTACCTAATCACTTGATTCAATACTGTATTGAACGTTTAATGCTCTGTCCTGCAGCGGCAGTATAGTAGAGTAGGTACTCTACTATACTGCCAATATATCAATAACAATAACACCGTCAATAACACCTCTGTTCTTGCTCGTAATGTTATTGTAATTACGAGCAAGAACAGAGGTCGTAATTAATGTGATACCCTAGAAACGTAAGAGCAATCCCTTAACTGAATTTTAAGCAAACTGGTTTTCAACTTTCAAGAAAGATGTCTAAAATTTACACATGTTCAGTACAGTATAGTGATCTTCTAATTAGTCTCGGTTATTTTTAATTCATAATATTATACGAGATACGACTTTTTATTCTTGGCTGTCACAAGAAATTGTGTAATTAAAAAAGGTACACAATTTTTGTAAATGACACCATTACATGAAATAAATGCCGTAACGCGTTGTAGTCTTTCTGTAGCAAAACTTAATAAATTATAAAATTGTTTATTAGAACTATATTTTGGAAGTACCTACTTGATTGGGTAGATACTTTAGAATCAAAATAAAATTAGGATAAAAAAACACAAGGTTCCATAAATATTTAGTTTATAATTTTAAAACTGGCTTAAATAAATTACAACTTAAAATAAGACTTATGTAAAAATGACTTGACAGACTGTACCTTGTTAAACGAATACGGTTTCACCGTCTGCTTATGGTACAAATACAGTAAGGTATGGTTTTTACGTGTATCATAATCGTTAATAATGCCATGTTAAATTAGCCTCTATTTATATTACGAAACGGGCTCATAAAACTTAGCATGACATGATTTCATTTACATTGATTCTTAAGATACATAGCTCGGTAAGTGGTCCATATGATTATTTAAATTTAATCAAACCTAAGGCATTAACGGTACATTTTAGGAGAATAAACAATCATAGTTTCTCTTTGGTGTTCTAGCCGTTAAGTCATCACGTGTTGTAACAAACGCGTACATAGCCATAGTAAAACCAAAATAGTACGCAGGTCGGATCCTGAACGAGCAATAATAGTCTAAACACACATGGTTTTCGTTTATGGGTTATTCAATCCTCAGAAATGCACAGTCAAGCGGCGCAAAGAATGCGCTTCTACGGCATAGCGATGATTGGCGAATTGCCACTCGTACTTTGAACACCTTGAACATAGATAAATTGCGACGAAATATACGCATTGGCGCGCTCACACGCAAACCATTTTGCATGCGTACGTATAAAGTTAAAGTGCTCTTTAGTTTTACTATGACATAACGCAACACTTTCGGTAAGTAAAACATAAAGCATACAAAGCAAACTTATCATTAACAATTTTATTTATAGTATAATATACGGCCATGTGTTTCCCACATATATTCACATCATATAATAAGTACATACAATTATATTATGTGCAGTCTCATACATAAATTTTAGCCTTCAATCAATTTCAACATTGACAATAATAGTAGTTTCTTAATATATAATAAATATATTACAATTAAGACTATGCTACGAATATGTTGAATCGATTTCCAAGTTGCGTAGTAGTGACGTAACTACAGGGTGGTAAACTAACAAAATACTACGAATCTCCCCCTGCTTGCAATTTTTGTAATCTATTATAAAACAGCCGTGAACTAGACTTCGTGGTATGTAGCTACCACGAAAACTTTATTACTTGAAAAGGTAATAAAGATCTTATTTAATTAAAGCATCATGCTGTCACAACGCTTTGCTAAACTTCAGGTTTCAAACTATTTTTGAATAGCATAACTGATTAAACTTTTTTTATTGGCTTCAGCATTTAGTAAAATAGGGATGATGAAAATTAATTTAGTAGCTTCAATTTAACAAGAAATAGCTCTAAAAGGCATTTAAGTTGAGGAATGGGCTATAGTTACGTCACAACTGTGTAGAAAATGTTCATTTTAACTTTATGCGACATTTCAACTCAATGTATCGCCGTAGTTTATTGGCTACGCAGAAATAAAAAAAAAGTACTTATATTAATCATCACCCCTATTGGTCATAGGCCTTGAACTGTACCTGTGATTAGGCCACTACTACACTTTAGTTCCTGTGTTCCGTAGTGGGAATCTGATACAATCGCAGTTACATAGACTTATATTTGTAAAAAAAAAAATTAAGTTCCCTTTGACTTCAACTCAACACTTCGAATTAAGTGGATGGAATTGGACACAAGTGACTACATCTGCGAAAGGTGTGGCTTATTGTAACCCCAAAAGATGGGTAAATCGATTTTCTTATTCTGTGAACACCGATTGCAATTTTATTGTGGTGGCAACTTTGTGTTCCAGTTGTCACTTGTCTATGATATATGTTTTTTTTTTCATTATCATTAGCAGTAATCTGAAAATTGAATATTCACTCATTGTTTGTATTCGACTTAAGTCTGCGTAACGTCCTAAATTCATTATACAATATAGTAGGTAACATGTACATTACACTTATGAATTCCAGATAAAAAAGAATAGCGAACCGAACGTTAAAATAAGAAATCAAGTAATAGTAATTAATGTGGTTAGTTGACAATAATGGTAACGCATTATATCGTAAGTTCGGTAACAATTTTATCTGGTACAAAATTAATTTTTAACATATAAAGAACATCATACAAGTAATAAGCTCTAATAATAAAAGAAACTTTGAAATTAATTACCTCATAAGCTTTTTATTTTGTTATGTCATTGTACCACTTTCTGTTTTACTATTCTGTAACAAATAAACCGCGAAATCGACGTCGAGCACGGCGTTGTCACAGTACAGAGGTTCAAATAGACCTTTATTATCTGTTTAAGTCAACGATTAATTTTTAACGGAGTAACGCAGTTGGTAATCAAAACAAGTCTTTCTAGCTCAATTGAATTATAAATAAAGAAAGGAAAATTGTTCCTATCATAAGTTAATTTACAACAGGTAAAATTATCAGAGTTAAATCTACATCTTATTCTAAATAAATAAAGCGTTTTACACTGGACTAATAGACACTTCACTTTGGTTCGATAGACTATACTTAAACATTATTGTACCTATGCCTGACTATAATAACATAGGTATTGTATATAATTGAAATGTATCACTGAATTGGACGGATTGCTGTTTGACAATTAGGTACATTATAATATGGCCGAGATTATGTAATCGTTGTGTAACTACGTTATTCTAAGATAATGTGCAAAGATTCACAGGTTTTCATAAGGCACTAATGGGTAACAAACCTTAATTAATTTATCTACACGGGTAAAACGATAAAGTCATTGTGGGGCTATGAGCCGATCACAAGTATATTACTTTAGCAATATCCTAAATATTATTTAAATCGCTTACGATGTAAATGCTTTAAAAATGGTAAAAATTATCACGGACGGCAACGGTGATCATCATATTTTGTTCCTATCAAATTGTATTTTTATATATAGTGTTTTGTTATATAACTTGCATTTATGCTTATTAATTTATCATTCATGCGAATTATGGTGAATAAAAAATTTTGGTTATATTTCATTTTTGGTAACACCTAATGTTTTAATTACACACCTTATTGTTCATTTTCATCAAATGATTTATAGTTTTTTTTTTTTTCAAAATATTTTTTATAATGCTTTATTAACTTCATTTTGGAATGAACGATTGAATAAGGCCAAAGATTTCTTTGGTAGATAGATATCTATATATAATTCAGACAATATGAATTTCTGATAGATTTGTACGTTATTGCATGGAATGTTTACATTGATTTACTATAGGAGCGTTGTTCTAAGTTAGTTAGTGATAAGAGGTGTTAGAGGTGCTGGATTGTCGCTGTAGAACCTGTAGCGTGGTGGTGCAGTCGCGGGGGGATCGACGTCGGCGTGTTGAGAGTCCCGGTGGCGACGCAAATCCACTTTCCTCTGGAAGGCTTTGTCACAGAGTCCGCAGGAGAAAGGCTTATAACCGGTGTGCTTACGCATATGAGTGATGAGGTTTGAGCTCTGACTGAACGCCTTGGAGCACACTACGCATTTATGAGGTTTCTCACCTACAACAATAGAAAAGTTGTGTTAAAATGCAAATTTTTACTAAAAAAAATATCTACTAAAGTCATAGTGCTTTTTTTCTTCCTTGTCATTTATTTTCTTATTTCACAATAATACTAGCCAAAACTGACGTCGTCATTATAAATATTATTATGTGAATTAAGAAAATGAATGTTTGAATTTGAAACATTAACTAAATTATTTTTGTATTTATGATGTTGACGTGCCGTGTGTAAATAAACAAATAAAGAAAAATATAAGCTTTCTTCTAATTAAAAATGTTCTAGGTACTTTTTTAATTAAATATAAAATATAATTTTAAGATTTAAGTGAATTATTCATTCACAATTTTTTATACAGATATTTATACGATTAAATCCAGATTTACATATCAATAATGTAAACCTTTCAAGTAACAATTCTAATACAGAAGCTGTCGCACTGCTATAATCCTGCACCGAAATGCTATAAAGAAACACATAAGGTTTCTAATGCTATCGACTGCTCGTTTACTTGACAATACACGGGATATGCAACAAATAATATGCATTGAATGCAGGCTCTGAAAACACGATTCTAACAAAATTAGCTTGTCAATGTTTTATTGTTTTAGATTTCGACGATCACTAAAGTAAGATTAGTACTTTTGGCGTGGTAGCAACTATGTTTCTTATTGTTAATATTACAAGCTCATTAATCACACAGTAACTCACAAATCATCAAATAATATTGACTGTTATAAAAATGTTATAGATTTTAACATAAACTTGACATTTTCCCGCGATTTCACCCGCGTATGATGTAGCTTCTCGTGGGTGAGAGAATTTTTAATATTGTTTCACTAGTTTCGCAGCTTATTTTATCTGTCCTTTTTATTATTATAAATTAAATACATCTTTTTTTTAAATATACCAACAAATGATTTAGATGCATAATGATACTCTTTGTAATGTTACAATCATACATATTTTCTTCCTACTTTCTGTACGTTAAGATATTTTAAACTACTCTAAATATGGTTTTCATCAATATACTGAATGATTCAAGTGTAAAATTTATCAGGACCACGTAGGCGAAGCTGCTGGTGGAAAGTACACTTAGTTTCAAATTTCATTGAATTGATTACATTACTATTAGCAAATACCATATCTTATCATCTTTACCTACCTATACATATATAAAAGGAGATGCCCTGACATACTGACTGACAGACAAAACACAGCCTAAACTGCTGGTCGTAGCGTAGATACTTAAAATTTGGAGAGTACATTCGTCTTATTATGTAGAGGTGTACTAAGAACGGATTTATGGATTAGCTTTTTTTGAAATACTGTAACTATACCACGCGGACACAGTCGCGGACAAAAGATAGTTTAGTTATATTGGATAGATAATGGAGTTTTAAATTAAACAAATAAGAATTTGCAAAAGATTAGATAATTGCTATATCTGTTGAGACAATGATATATAACAGATTAGATTTCAGTGCGATTATATGAGATTATATGTTCGACGGCAATGTATTTTTTTTTTATTTATTTGCAACTTTTAAGAAGTAATATAACTGTAGTATAAGAGGTTTATTTTCGTTGCGACATTTAAATTTTGTTTGTAATTGTCGGTGATTCGTCCTATTTGTAACATCATAATTGGTAATAATTGGCCTTAAACGTAATGTCGTAACAGCATTGTGGCTTCGATTTCATTTCTAATTAATTCATAAATCGTTCGTGATAGTTATCGCATCGTTAAGTAATTAAAGCTTGTATAAGGGACCACCGTACTTGTCATATCATCGGCTATTTATTATTTATTGTACGGTCTCGGTACTGATTTAATATGCAACATCGTTACGCCGACTGGTATTTACGAACTTCTTTGATAATTATTTGTCAGTCTCCGTGTAACTTTAACCTCTGGTTAAATATAAAACAGCGTTTTATAGATCTTCAATTACAATATTGTTGTGAAACTTATAAGTTAATGCTTAATAAAGATAAAAACTATTTTAAAGATGGGTTAAGATTTAAAAATCCTATTTTATTTATGCTACGGCAGTAGTTCACGTAAAGCCTTGTAAAGGTTGCGGCTAATTGCAGCGGCGTCGCATTTTGGAATATTGATGATGAGGCATTTATCGAGACAACCAGCTCCTTGTAAGGTCGCTGTAAATCATTCGGAACAGTACTCGGACGTGACGAGATGTCTCCGGCCAAGACAAATATGCTCGCAACATTTTTTAGCTGTTTAATTCGTCTCGCTGCTGGATATAGTACCATTGAAAATAGTCGTAGTCGTTGTTTTGCTTATCGATTTGGGTATTCAACTATAATTATTCTGTTCGATAAATAAATCGCCGGTATAAACGACGAAGTACGCTAAGGTATTTCAATGCTCTTTTAATTTTATTGTTGAGATTATTTAAGAACTAACAAGTACGGTAAAGAGACGCCTCTTTTGGAATCATAATAAAAAAAATATGCGCGACCTCAGACAAGAGATGTAGCGGAGTGACCATGCGAGCGTACGGCGACCGCTTTTTGCTCATCGGAAATTCATTAACGCCGGGGACCGGCTGCGATTTGCCGTCGAAAAGATAATTGTACTGCATTTAAATGTTTAATTCCCGAGACGGCTTCGTCCGCGATGTGTCACACGGCTCTTTATGGGCCCGCCTTGTTTTAATGAACTTGTCTGCGTTGATGTGGGGAAAACTGCATTTTTTATTAAGAAATAAAAACAGTCGAAGAATGTTTTTCTTTCAGAATAGCTAAAGAGCTAAACTTGTGAAATAATAGACAAAACGGTTGTATATTTACTATTTTTATTCATTTATCGACTTTCTCTATTTTCTCTATTAAATATGACGGTCAACTTTAGTTCACAACTCCAATCAAATCTGTGACTTTAAAAATTTATGACACAAATTATGTTGTACAACATTTTGTTCAGTTTCACACTATGAATCAAATGATACATAATTGCTTTGAAACAAATGGTAATATTACGAAGGAAAATTGTCACGTTTCGAAATAGTTTAAGTAAAAAAGCCAGTTATTATTGTTTTATACTTGGTAGTAGATACTTAAAATATAAAGAAGTCGTTTTCTGTAACATAATTTTATATCTAGTATTGAATTTGACATTTAAATAAAAACAATCATTGATTAATGCAATAATACGAAAATTTTCCATGGTTTTCAAAAATATTATTTTCATTAAGGAACTGCTTTTGAAAATTATAATTAAAAATCGATTACATAATAATATGGCCACGTGATATTTAGCTATAAGTCTTAGGACTGTCCTATAAATAACTACTAACGTCTGATGTCTTACACGTATGCATTTATGGATATTGGCTTAATGATTCTGTGTTTGTACGGTACAAACTTTTGTGTTGTTATTATTTAATAATTTGTTGTAATTTATGTTTGGACAATTTGATATACACGCTTTTCTATTCTGTAATAAAATCATTTTATCGAACTCGAAGTTAAGCATAAATATTCAAGGAAAAAGATTAAAATTAGTACCTATTTTATGATGAAAATATTAATTATATTTGGGTGCCAGGGACCAAGTGGATTTTTTAAACATTTTTCATTAAGAATATTTTTCAGTGTAACATTTTAAATGCGAAATTGATCAATTATAATAATTAGAATAAGTCTTTACCGAAAGTTTAAATATTTGTAAAAATATTTCTTTTGGCTGTTTGTGTGGATTGTCTGAACATTGGTGAGAATACGCTGTATAGTAACGAAAAAGTAAAAAGTGCTTGAAAGACTCATCAGTTCTGTTAGGTTCTGGATAGTTTAGTGGTTAGAGCAGTCGGATTACGAAAGGTCATGGGTTCGTACCCCATATCAGGGTGCCAGGGACCAAGTGGATTTTTTGAGTATTTATAAAAATATTCTTCTATTCCTGCAAAATTTATCTATTATAGAAATGTAGCTGACCTGTATGTATATAGGTGTGCTTTTTCATGTCGGATTTCTGATGGAAACGCTTCCCGCAATACTGGCAGGGATATGGCCTGGTGTCGGAGTGGATCAGGAGGTGCGTTGACAGCGTACTCGATCGTTTGAAGCACTTGCCACATTGTTTACACTGCAACAAAATCATAACAAATCCATTCATAATACATAAACCAAGCTCTATAGCATAGACTACTTCTCTATTTTATTACATAGAGTAGGAGTAATTTTAGTTACAACTTAATTATTATCGCTTTGTCCTTTACCTACTGAGTTTTCGTCCATTTGAATCGATGCTGCACTCTGTTATTTATTATGTGTGACGTACTCGACTTTTTCTTTGTTTTAAGTATTATATAACGTTTATATATCATTATTTGTGCCACAGAACACAGTAAGGAGGTGCACTGCGTTAAAAAAAAGAATTTAAAATAGATTCATATTTTTTTTATTACATCTCAAAACCGTCCGTCGTCATTGTTTTAATTTGACTGAGCTATATCGATACTACTCTATATCGATAGAATCACGCCTGTTTTTTACCGCGCAGCGCAGATAAATTTTTCATCCATGTTCAGGCAATCCACCCAAACAACCGCAAAGATTAACATTACCGCATTATTACAAATATTTTTAATTATATTTGATTTATTTTACCACGGACAAAGTGGATTTTTAAGCATTTGTCATTAAGATTTTTTTGTAGTATAAAATTATGAAAGCAGAATTGATTATCAAGTTTAAATTGACTTTTACAGACGAAATTATGATATTTTTCTTACTTTTTCTCATCATCAAAATAGAATACCTAGTGGCATTGCAGTAGAGACCTTAACATCGACCTGACCCATAATATTATTGATATATAACAACAAATTGCTGATAATATCTAAATGAGGTAATTAGAATGAATTCTTAAGGGTTTGATTGCTAGTGGCTGTACGAATAATTAGATATCAATGTTGACGGCGTCCATCACCTTTCTTAGTGACAACCAGTAATAAAGTAATAACAGGCTTATTCCGAACTCTTTATACACATTTCTTTGATTTCCTCCAAGATCCGTGATAGCAATGATTTTTTTTTCGTCAACCAGTAATTAGTGGAGCGAAGGGGTTATTATCAGCAAATAGGGAGCTAGCGGAGGGCTGTATCAACTGGGCTCAGAATAACAAAAAAAAAACAAGTGCGAGTCGGAATGGCAGGCCGAGGGCTCTGTGCAAAAATGTAGGTATGGAGTACTAAATCTATGATTGTTATCGAGGCTTAAAGATTATTCCTGTTTTTATTCTAAGGTGCTCTCCAAAATTGGTCCTCAATACGAGAGTTACATTCACCGAATTGGTAATACTACTGAATTCCGAAGACAACGATAAAATGAATGAATAAAGTAAACTAATCTATAGCTAGATATTTATAAAGCCAGATATTGATTTATTGAAAATAAATTTTCTACGGTTTATACTAAATTAACGACATATGGTTTGTTTACCTTCCCAAAATTTGCGACATAAACGGTAGTACCTTTTGATTGAAGATCGATTTAATCACTACAAGAAACTGTAACCCTAAGCAATTTCAGCTTGATACTTTAATACGAGAAAAAATATATTTTAGATATGGACAAAAGACAATGAACCCTAAAAAGAAACGTATTAGAAGTAATTACCGATACGTACTTTTTAAACGTCGGGAAATAAAAGGAATACTTGAAATTTTCACAGATAGACACACAATAAAACGTAACATGTGTTTCTTTTCATAGAAAACGAATTACATTCATACATTTCTATTCGAAGTGTACGTTACGTGTTTGGAAAATGACTCTTAGTTATTCCGACTTCGGTGTAGATTTATTTATTCAGATGTTTTGAATGGAAGGCAACATTAATTTTCTATAGGCAATGTTTACATATGTTAACTAAGATTTGTAAAATGTTTTAATGGCAAGTTACTCAATGTTAGCATTTTTTGTATGTATATGTTTGAATCTTCTTGAACTGATTTACGTATATCTATACTATTATCTTATAATAAGACAATTGACCATAATTCAATCAGAATAAGGTACTATCGCCTCATATGTTTTAGACTTCTCTAATTAAATCTAATTAAAATGCGTTTCGGCTGTAACCGTTGTACTGTATCAACTGATGGAGAAATATTATTACGACTATTACACTTTGGGGTTTGCATTAAGGAAATTATGCAACAAACAGTACAGCTGGAGATGGATACCGTTTAGATAATATGTTTATTTTATTTTATAGTGACAGTTCCGTTTCATAATGAAAGTACTGTTATTTGGCATAAATTTTATAGTCAATATAACGGAAAAATGACAGACAAGGACGAGAAGTTCATACCTGGTAATAGGGAAGACGACCTATTTTTGTTTCTCTGTCCATCGGGTTTTTATTAAAGAATATTTAACACGATTTTTATTTATTTTTGTGTATTATTTTGGGTGATATTATTTAAACAGTCATCATGCCTATTTAGAAAGTATTCAAAATTGCGCGGGTAGCTGTACATCAGCGACTTAGGGTAATCAGATGGTTAACCAGGCGTTGCGCGTACGCAGCAATCCCTCGCGTCTGCGCGGCTAGCGGCTCAGTGACAGTTGGCCAAGCAGCTGCGCCTACTCGCGCCTCACAAAAACACCCACTTTTTTGATCGTCTTTTTATGCAATGCACTCTCTTTTAAACAACACAGGTGCTGGGGTATGACTGTCCACATATGGTTATCGCCTTAACCTCATACCGAGGTAATTTTTTATCGATAGCTAGTTTTGATCGAGAACGGTTAAATCTTTTTTTCGCTCAGTTAGCTGCGGTTCGTTTTTATTACATTTTCCATTGTCCTGTTTAAATTTATGGACGCCTCAGAAATTCATGTTTAGCTATTTTTAGTGGAATTATATCATATAATTAAATCTATTTCTTATTTTAAGCTACATAACGGATTTTAATGCGATTTTCATCAATATACAGATTCAAAAGGAAGGTATAATACAGGAGTACGCTGGAAAATCGCTGGTAGAAAGCTAATATATAATTCTCATTTACTTTTGACAAGGATTTAGAATTATATTACAATTATATTAGTGGAAGATCTTGAGAGGTTCAAAAGCCCGATTATAATAGAATTTATTGGAGATGTTATTGAAATATTAAACCGTGAAAAACACTCGAGTAGTGGTGCTGAGTTTTTATTGCAGTGGGCAGACATGACCATCAAGTAATTATTCCTCCAATTATAATAAACCGCTCAGCGATATTAAAAGTTGGAATTTTGATTAAAAAAATCGATGCGGATTTTTCAATGGCATCTCGTAGACAAAATAAATTAAGAAAAAAAAACAAATAAAACTGGCTAGAAGGCGAAACGGGCGCACGCCTGCCTCGTGGCTTCGCCGCTGTGTCGCACGGCCGGTCAGCGGCGACCCGTTCCAATACACGAGTACTTATTAAGACAGGAGCAGTTTTTGCTATTTGATTTGTTAAAGGGACTAAAACACATACTGGATTGCTATTTTAAAACCTTTTTGAACGGAAACTGTACAGTTACTCGGGATGTCGCCGCCCGCTGGCTTCTAGATTTCTCTCGCGATGAATGCTTATTTATAGTAAAAATAAAAGAACTATAAAAATGTTCACTTACCTGGAATGTTTTCTCATTTTTATTTTCATTTTTGATAAGTAACGAGAAATTAATGTCTTGCGCCGGCGGCAACGCGTAAGTCTGATGTACAGGCGCGGATGGGCAACGTCTTAGTTCACTGTTGGAATCGTTTTCATCTGCATCGGGGGTGCTGCGGCATCTCTTCACCAACTCTAGTGGTGCGTCTGATTCTTCTAGATCCCACCTGGAGGGCGAGTCAGCTTCATGTTCACGTTCGCATGCACTCCCAGGGGACCATATTTGTCTATTCTTCGTTGACAGATTTAAAGGCAATTCCTCCTCGTTATCTGCAAATATATTGGAACAGTTAATTTTCTACACATTTTAACAGAAATGTGATCGTCTTTTACTCATAAAACCATTTGAATAATGCTAAAAAATCGGCCAGTCCCAAGTACTCTGAGATGGGACTCGAACCCATAACCTTTCGCAATTTGATTGAACCACTGAGAACTTTTTAAGCAATTGATACTTTTCCCTACTAGTGAGCGTATTTTCATCTTGTTTTGGTGGATTACCCGAACATTGATGAGAATACGTTCTGTAATAGCTAAAAAGTAACAAGTGCTTGAAAAATTCGTCGATCCTGTTAGTTCCTGGGTAGCTTATTGGTTAGAGCAGTAGCCTGGATTGCGAAAGTTCATGGGTTCGAGTCTCATCTCAGAGTGCCAGGGACAAAGTGAATTTATTAAGCATTATTCATTAAGAATATTTTTAAGTAAAGCATTGTGAAAATATAATCAATCATTTATGAAGTTAAATGAGTCAAAGATGTTTTATCAAACTTAATTAGGTACTTTATTTAAGTAATATTAATTGAACTACTAATAACTTTACTACTAATAAAAATAAACGCATTATATCTACTTTTCAACTACAAGTTGCGTTTTTATAGTTTTAATCGAGAACAATAAAAACGTGCCTTACTTTGCAACAAAGTTTTAAATTAAAAGCAAATAGTTAAGGTTAAATCAACCGCTTAACTAACGTTTGAGGTTGGATTCCTTCACCTGTTATCATCGAAGTTTGGTCGTAACCGGAACAAGGATAAAGGCAATTTGAATACTTGAAGAATTTAAATATGTCGACAAGTTGAGTTTGTAAGGCGTCAGTTTTAATCGCACGAAACATGTTCGCGGTACAGGTATACCTAAGTAGTATATACTGTAATACCTTGAGTTACACAAATCCGAAATTATGCAATTTTCAAATATCAACGATTCTCCTTTACACTTTAGCGTCAGACAATCTCTCAATTTATCAACTGACTGCGCCTTTACTCACTAAAAGGAACACACTTTTGACTTTAAATACTTTTATGATAAAAAATAAAGACATTTTTTTGTATGAACGAATTATATCGGTGTCTCTGAGTGCAGTAGTATTTTCCTCATAGCACTTACGCTTATATTTTTTAATTCCTTCTTTAAACATACAAACTTTTCGTTAATCTCCAAGAGTGCATTTCAACAATACATTGTTATAAAAGTCATTTACTATACAGAACAAGGAGATATTATTTGGAAAATATTACTAGGAAAAATAATTTTGATGCACCAAACTATTCTTAGATTTTTTATTCAGGCGGTTTATTTATCATATAAGATTCTCTTGAACCTTTCTTGATTAACAGTTTTCTTTATTTTTGGTACCAATTTAAAATAATTTACTGTGATATTAGATCTGAATTACCGCGTAGGTAAATTCGGTTATTTATTATATTATATTATCTGTGCCCGCGGTTTCTCGAAGGAGGTATACGGCATGTAACCGACGGGCTATCAACGCCGCGAGTTATTAATCGGTACTTGGAGCTGATAGCTATTCTAATGAGGATCGTTCAGGAGTCGTAAGGAGGACGAGGCGAACCGAAGTTTTACATCAACAACGACGCAATTACCATAACGCTGGATTTTTAAACGGTATCGTAATTGCGTTTTTGTTTTTTCTTTCTATTTTAAAGAGAGCTTTTTTGTTTTAAAGAGAGCATTTTATCTGGTTGATTTATATGGATACAAAATGTATAAGTCTTCTGGAACTGGAGTTTTTGCGTTTATAGTTTTAATTGTTGTATACCTATGATTTGTTTTGTTTTGTTTTATTTTTCCTTCAATACTTTTGCTAGTACAATTTTGATTATACTAAAACTAAAAAAAGTTGTTAAATCTTAAATAAAAAATGTTATTTCGCTTGTTATCGTGTGCAATTAAATTTTACTATAATTTTCATTGTAATAAATAATGTGATTGTGATGTTTACCATCTCTAGGTGGCGTGTGACGAGCTGGATCTAGTGGACTTGCTGTAAAATGTGGGCCTGCTCTTGGCAACAGGAGTGGCCAGACACCTGCACCACCGTACAGCGCTCCCAGACCGCTGCAGTACATTAAAGCGCCCAGCTCTGATCACAAATAAACAAGGAACTTAAGTATTCTTTAAGATATTAATATTATCAGAGTTATGGATTAAAGGTGCAGTCTAATATAACCTGCTTTCAAAGATAAATAAAGATTTTATTCGATTGGAGCTTTAACGCTCTGTCAGGCTTGTGGTTAACGCTGTATTTTTTCAAAACAGCATAATAATTCTAAGCATAATAAATAATCTTCTATATAATTAAGTATAACTTTTTTTATAATACAGGGATATCTTAAGATAAATAACTTAACTGTTTTTTTACACGCCTATACACATAAAGTGGCGTCCAGAAGAACTAGCAACAGAAATAAGCAGGAACAAACATTTTTCTTTATATATTTTGGATTGCTTTAAATTAATGGGTTAACTATATGTTGTTCATGTGTTTTTCCATCAAATTTGATTTTCAATAACTAACCTGTTGCACGCGCGTACTGTTTAAGCGCTCTACCGGCGACCTCAATGTCCCCCAGCTGTAGCAGGTCCAGACGGTGTTGGGCCAGGGAATCGGGCGACTGCGGGGGGGAGTGTTCTGATGGGGGAGAGTGAGGGGATACGCTACGTTCGGGTGAGGGGAAACGATGCGCGGGCGGCGGTGATGAAGGCTTGAACTGCTCCGCCAGCCGTGACAATAACACGTGCCGGGACATGCTGTACAAACAATTTGATCTATTAGATAAAGAAAGATCTGAAATTAGTAAATAAATAAACTAAATACAATAAAAACTAATGACCGATCAATGAAAGAGTAAGAGAGAATATGAGTCATACTATTAAAATTCACCACTCAAATGCGAGACAATTTGAAAATGTTTGTTTTCTGTGTCTACTTGACAGGTAAATCCAATCTGGAATATGTAGAGATATCTAAGAACTTTGTTTAATAGATTTATTTAGAATTATAAACATCATTATCTAAAGAGTTATTTGGGTTTTAACAGATATGTATAAACATTATGTAAAAGTCATAAGTTTTTTCAATATTTATGGCAATTATATCTCTAAAATTATAAGAAAATATACTAAGTGCCAAATAAAATTATTCAATTCTAGATCAAATACTTCCGTGGTCGTGCTTTTCGTAGATTTTTTGTCTGCCACATCTACACGTGATCTTTACATAGGTACTCGAACTTCTTTACTACAATAAGCACTTTGTTCATTTTAAAGTTTTCCTATAAAAATGCATTTTATGAATCGTATAGTATTCAATCAAACCAGTATTCATCAAAACATAATTTAAAATTTAGTGTTTCCTTATACCGTACCGTAATACCTGCTGATAAAATAATAGATATTTAGTTATGGTGATGAATCGGCGATATTCAGACATCTGTTTCAATAAGATTTAAGAGGGCATGCACACTAAAAAAGACAATATGTCAATTGAATTTTGTACTACAAAATAACACCCGAATAAGCTGTGATTAGAATTGAGACAACTATACAATATATTTAAGGGTTTTGTCATGGTCAAGATGCGAATAAATTAAATTATATCGCAGGCCCGGTTCTACGGTTTTTTTTAATCAGGGCAGAAACTTCATATAGCGCCCTTCCTCTCTTCTTCCTACGCTTTCTGAAGCCTAATTTCATATTATGACATTTTTATTTTATTTTATTTTGGGATTTTTAAGCATGTCCGGAACGGATCATAGCCTATAATACTCGTATGTCATTATAATTATGATGATGAATTTGACGTCCCCCTAACACTGGCGCCCTTACTTGCCCTCGCCCGCCATAGATCTGGGGCTCTATTTTTGAATCATTCGTCTCGCGTCGAGCGCTCGTATTCTTCTATCACTCGCATACAACGTTCGCTAAGCGACGAGTGGTTCATACCACTCGTTGCAGTCGAGCGATTTAGAAATGGCGAATTTGTTAAGTCGAACGAAAATCAGTAGAAAACGAGCGCTCGACGCGAGACGAATGATTCAAAAATAGAGCCCCTGGGCCTGCAGCCAGGGTTCGATTAATTCAACAGGAACATTATAAATTGGTTTCTTATATTTTCACGCGCACTATTCATTAAAAACTACTTTTAAGGGATAAAAAGGCGTTTATATTTGGTCATTTAAAGATATTATGGATCTTTTAAAGTTTCCCTGTTCCTTAGATTGAGTTGTTGATTGAAAAAAAGACAATCAACACATTAGTCTATAGACGCGTTTTTAGCAGTTAAAAGTAGTTTTATTTAGTGAACATTATTATTATTTTCACGTGACCATTGTCATTAATGTACCGTATATTTCTTGACAGCACCCTGATTAATCCAGTCGCTGAATACGAATCGTATTAAAAGCTCAATCAAGCAAATGAAGAATCAGAATAATGGAAGTGGCGTTGCGCAAGAGCATTAATAATTCACTGCCCGCTAAAACAATCTTCATTACATTAACACATTAGTTATTTACGTGTGATGACGTTTACACAAATAGTTGTCTATCGAATTTAAGTGGATTTGATATGGATAGATGAATGTGTTTTTGTGATATTTTAGTTGGATTATAATTGTATTTATGTTTTATTTGGATTATAATTAATGTTTTACCAATTAATCTTAGCTTTCGATTGATAAATCACAATAAAAAAAAAACACGAAAATTTGAGACAATAAAAAAGCACTGTTCAATTTATTTCATCTATAATATACTAGCTGTTTTCCGGCGACTTCGCCCGCGTAAATTATGTCGTCACCCGTGTATAATGTATATCACAGTAGAAGAAAGAATTTTTAATTAACTCCTACAAATGTACAAACAAAATTAGAAACCATATAGAGGAACATAATATTAGTAAAGATTTAGTGCTACATTTTTTATTCTTAAAATATTAGTTGCTCGTACTGTCACTTAAATATTTTGCAAATTAAGCGAGCAAACAAAGATAAATATTTGATTTATATATTGAAAAACATGTGTTACATAAAATCAGCCTTGAATCCACAATCTTTTGCGATAAAAGTAAGATTAATAACAAATAAGCTACTGAAATAACGACACAAATGGAAAAGGAACAATGTAATAAATGAGTTATGAATTGCAAAAAGATTAATTTCGATTATGTTCGAATAAACGAGGGGCGATAAGTAGCAGATAGTAAGCTTTTAGTATCTATGTTAATTACACCATATTGATCGAGCAGATATATTATGTTAAGTAAGATGAGTTATGATTTAGATATTGGCTATTTAGATATGATTTTTAAATGTGGTATTGTTAATATTGCTTTAAATTCGGAACAAAAAGTTAACACGAAAATACTTGCAATTTCGAGATTTTTAGAGAAACTTGATTTACACATGCAAATGTACATTTCATTAGTTAATAAATTTAGAACGATTGATCTTTCTGATTCATTGGTTATTAATTTATATGATATTATCGATATTTAATACAAAATGGTTGAGCTTAATGTTCGGTATTGTATATATTTTTATTTTATTTTAAAAACAATAGAGATGATGACAAATTTTTCTTTGTCCGTCCTTCGAGTAGATTATAGTAAATAAGTATTTTTATTTTTTGGGTAATCAGTGAATTACGGAGATACACTGAGATGAAACGTCGCGTCATATCACACTTTTGTACATTTTTTACATAGTTGTGGTATAGTGAGCCCTTTCAACTTTAATGCTTATTGTCCAAGAAAATTTCTTGATAAAATGAAGCAAATAAAAAAAAAATACGCAACCAATCTTTTTCGATTATCTAACAAACGGACTAAATATATATTTTTTTTAGCTAGGCATCATGTCTATTGAACAATATGTTAATATAGATACATTATCATTGACTGAGCACACACATGAAGAAACGTACGTTATCAGCTATAACGGGAAAACACTTTGTTAGTAGTTATCTACCTCTAATTGTCGACGAGTTGCTAATATGAGGATTGTGTCGCAATTTCTTGTTCCAATAAAACAGCCCCACTAGATTGATACTGGTATTTATGGGAGTTCCGATACCACATATATTTTATCTACACTCTATGGGAACCCGTACAAATGTTGAGAAAATCAATCATCCATATTTTTAAAATTACCGTAATTATTTATGATTCAATTGATTTTGTTAAGATATGCAAAGATAAATGTATTAAATTAAGGTAATTTATTAGTTTTCTGCATAACTTGTGTAAAATTTACTTATTTCAAATTGAAGCAGTCTCTTTTGGATTTATTTATCTATACCACAGACTATATATTCATAATTATGAAAAGTTTTGATTGTTTGGTTCCGAAACTACTGGAGTGATTTTAAATAATTATTCAAATACAGGAAGCTACATCATACACGGATGACAGCAAGTTACACTTTTGCGGGCGTTACCGTGGAAAAACAGCTAAGTGGGAAATAAAATACTTATTTACCCCAGTTTACCTATATTAAACCCATATTTAAATGATTTGGTGCTTGTTTAACATCTAATTAACTATGTTGATTACTATAATAATGTTCCATGCTTAGATATTTCTTTCTAAATATTGGAATATTGTCAAAAATGAAAAATCTTAATTAAGTCAAAGCATGACTTTAGTGACACCATGAAAATTGTTAAGATACTGCGATACTACTAAAAAACCGCGTGAAAACATCTGTGTATACAATATCTGTGTGTCTGCTATATAAACAGATAGTTACAATCAAATTGTTTCTGTAAAATCTCAGCAAAAACTTTGCTTTGGCAGTTGAAACATTTAATTCCTTTGCCTAAATATGGATGCTCAGAGCGAAACAAAAAACAAGGGATTTTTTATAATTATTCATTGAACCGAAAAAGTTTTGAGAATGAGCGATTTTAAGAGGAAAATGGTAAAAACCACATTATCTTTTTCCCAAACTAAAGCGGTACAAAGTTTGTCTACTAGGTAGACATATAAACTATGTAAATAAAATAAATTCAAGAGTAATTTAAATACTCGTAAACTTGGACGGAAAAATAAATTATACGTGGCTGATCTCAAATCAAGCATGATAAGAATGCATAGTTTTAATAGTAAATTCTAAATTGGTCACTGATCAAATGAAAGATATGCCATCAATTTTTTGATATCTTAATAAAGGTACTTCCTAAACGTAGTTACGTATAAAAGATAAGACTCAAATAATATTCATATAGTTAAGAGTAAAAATTTTTAAATTTTCTGAGACTCGATATTATCACGGCATTCTCAGGGTTGACCAGAGCTTCAAATATCACTCAAGGTCACGACTCGTTTGGGTTCAGATTCAATGAACGTCCCTATAAATGGTGTTTTAATTTTGACATTGTTCTTTTAAATAGAGAAAAACTGACAGCTTCATCTTTTTCTACATCTTAGTACCTAGTGTTTGTTAATATATCCTACATTCACCAGAAAAAATAGTATCAATATTGGAATATTAGGTAAATAGTTGTCAATAAAAACTTTGTTATTTATATTAATAAAATAAAACAAATAATAAAAATCGTCCGCTAACTTCCGGATACAAAAGGATAATTTTAAGTAACAACATTTTGTCTCCAATCTAAGAGTAGAGAAGTAGAGTAGAGAACGAATGAGAAAAATGAGTGTCCATTATTTAATAATTAGTAATTTAAAAATTGTTTAGTAGTACCATTATTTTAGTTATTTTGTTAAAACTGAGACTAAAATAGAACG